TGCGCAGGCTGCGAAGGAGTCCATGTTTATCTCCAGGTTAATCACCGAGCTCGGCGTGACCCTTGATAACAGAAGCATCATTATTCAGTGCGATAACGCGCAGACCATTCGGCTTATTAATTCCGACGTGGCGCTCCTGCAGACCAAACTTCGACACGTTGACATCTATAACCACTGGCTACGCCAGGAAGCACTCGCTAACCGGATCTCGGTCCGGCATACTCCCACCACCGAGATGATTGCAGATGGCCTCACGAAGGCATTACCCGCTTAGCAGTTCCAGAAGTTCGTCACACAGGTTGGCCTAGTGGATATCAAGGACAGGATTCAAGAGGGAAGGACCAAGGAACTCACTGCGGAGGACTTTGTCAGAACAGAGGAACATCTCGATGGAGGAAGAGCCGAATAAGGGATCGGAAGGATGGCCAACCTGACAATAGGAATACGGACTGCATAGACTGAGCCACGATGGCCAGTCTGGGGGGGTGTGTTAAACAGGTGCTGGGGTCTCACGTGCAGGCAGGGATACTTTAAGATTACAGCCGAAATGGTAAAACCTCTAAGGGGTAGATTTCAACAGAACACAACATGAATACACCAATTCATATCAATGAACCGAATACACGTAATGTCTGACAGCTATAGTAAGTGTTTCTCTCGTCTGCGGCCCTGCTTAATTTATTAAGTGCTAAATCCTAAGAAACCATTAGTTAAAGAAGCCTGAAGAAAACGAAGACAAATTAGGGGAGTTATACTTTTAGTTACTAAGACCCTGAAATTTCTTAGCTTACTGATACTACTATCAGGTAATAAGAATATTAGGTTTTATTCCTTAAAGAAATTAAGCAAGTACTCCATTCTAATCATTACTTCCTATAAGGCGCCATGGCATCCTTCTTTGGCCTAACCCTGGCACCTTATAGTGATCTTATAGAGCGGTTTAAGTAGACTCTGTATCTCCGCTAACAGAAGCCAGTCCTATAGTAAAAGCTGATCTTGGATAGGCACCTGCTGTCGGGGCTTTAACGTCTTTGTTTCGAGATATACAATAAAATAGTCAATGTGCTCTCGCTTTCGAATAGCACGCTGGATCATCAGAAAGGTTAAATTCTATCTGGTTTTATTATTTTATATCAGCTCGAGGTCGATAGCAGCTCGCTCCTCTTCAAAGAGTTAATAGCCGTCTTTGTCATTCTGGTTATAAGCCAGGGATTTCATTAGCTCTCTCTATTGCGGGGAAGCCCTGATGAACTGGATGATGTTATGCAGCTTGCCCACCGCTCCCCGTTTCCGCTAGAGCCGAAGCTCACGCTCTTTAACTTAGAAAGCCGCCTTAGTGAAGGCTTCTCGCTTAAACGAGTTAGGATCTTCTCCCCAGAGAAAGGCTCGAGCTGCAAGGTTAAGAATATGCCCAAAGCATCTTATTCAATGATTTCTAATATCTTCTTCTGCCATTGCAGGATAAAGTTAATAATAAAGGCTCGCCAAGTATATATCATTAGATGAGGCGTTATCGCAGATACCCGCGCTAGTCCTATCTTATATCCCATACTTGCCTAAGATATTATATATTGTTGCTGCTTGGTTATCTCTGGAATGAGATCCCTATATACGGCGCAGAGCAAGGAGTCGCAACTAGACTTAATAGGAGGCGTTGAGATAGTGGGCGTGGAGGCCAAGGAAAGCATACCGGTTTAGAGAAGTCCATAGGTTAAAGCTAAAGCTAATCCTTGTAACCGCCTTTTGTAATTAACTTAATATTACTCCCTTCTTTACCTCGAATAATTTCCACATAGTATTATATACTAACTACCGACTCCATGGTACCTCTTTTACTAATAATATATTATATAAATCAAGCATTTGGCGCAAATACAGATTCGATAGCGCCGTGAATAGAAGATTGGCAGTAATAATCTAGCTGACCGTTAACTCCTTCGCTTTATTGATATTCGATCTTGCAGTAGGAGACTCTAAGCAATGCCGCTTCGAGGGTAGGTGAATATCAGCGCGAGATAAATACGAATCTGCATCCATATTATTATCCGCCTCAGTGATTATATAAGACCTATATCTCGTAAGATAATAGAGAAGTAATAAAGATTAGGCTTATATAGATATTATTTACCTTCGGAGGTGCTTAATTGGCGATGTTATATTTATGGCAATGAATAATAAGCTCTTGCCTCGTTTATTACATTTTAAGCATACTTAGTAGGTCTGTAACGTCTGTAAATCAGGGCTAACTTCTATAAGAAAGAAGCCTATGGCTTAGATCTAGCTCCTCTGACCTTTGTGATTCTTATTAGTAATATATTCTTCTAGTATATATTTCTTATAGCTAATCTGGATAGTTAGGAGGTCAGCAAGGGTTGTTCTTCTAGCTTTAGTCTTAATAGATACAGCATTAAGCTGCTGCTTAAGTAATTTGCGATAGCCACTAATTCCTAGAAGCGATTCTAATGACTATTATTATACTGCCATAGCAGGTTACCGGCGAATTGCGGAATACAGATACTTCTTATCAGGGAGCGACGTTAATTCTGAACCAGGTGTTTCTAGCATGTAAGCGAATGCAAAACACGTAGTTGCGCTACCCCTGCTGCGTTCCTGGGTTCTATTGGTGTAATTAACTGGGGTACTACACTTAATTAATTACCCTATGCCTGGGACTTCGAACAGCCTTGAAACTCACAGGGCTGTTGCATAGGAAAATCCATAAAATCTAGTATTTCAAGTAAATCAAGTTTAAAGTATTATGAACTTGCTTACTTGAAATAAACTGGTTTGTTGACTTACTTGACTTACTTGAAATACTTAACTTGATACTTGAATTGAGGTCAGCGCTGACAGAGACGGGCAAGTCGACTCTGATAATACGCCAAAGACTAGCCGTCACATCAGAGACCTGGGGAAGAACAAGAGCCCCTCTACCAGAAGGCGCTATTCTGTGATATCAAAAGGGTTTGAAGCCCAAGAGTCCAAGATCGCCTCTTTGAGCACCAGAATAGCCAGCTTGGAGGAGGAAGTTGGCCGGTTGAGCAGAGGCAAGAAGAGAAAGGCGATACCGAATCCCAATAAGAAATTTATCTCGCTGGCAGAGGCTCTAGCAGCTGGTGACACTATTTCAGAGCCAAACGAAGCAATTGAAGGGGCGGATGTTGTTGAGGATGTGATCGAGGTGGAAGGGATAGAAGAGGATGAGAGGTCAAATTCAGGGAAGGAAGAATTAGGTGTCGTACGTACCCGCACAGGGCGTGAGGTTAAAAGACCTAGAAAATATTAAAGTAGATTCAATTTTGATCTAATTCTAGAGATAAACTTATTTTTACTATTTTTATTAAGTTTTTCCCATGAGGTTAAAAAAGTGCATTATGTATAGGGGAATCTTTTTTTCGCTGACCGGTAGGTGGGTATGACCGGCAGGTGGGTACTGCATGGTAATTCCAGAAAATAGCTATAAAGTCAGGGAAACTTTTAATTAGCTTGAAATGGTCTATTTAAGATTATGGGAATAAGATATTACTATATCTGGAGAAAAGTGTACCCTGAACTCACGAACTCGTTGGCTAACTCTTACCCCCATATTCATGAGTAAATTTGCTGCTAACTACTGCCGCTGACTATTGGGAACCCTTATATTGCCGCACCTGCTTGCTCCTTATCCCTATCGGGCCTGGTCCACGCAACACTAGCTACTACCAATTGTTTATAAACTGGACAGTCGATGCACCTAAAGTAGCTAAGCTCTTCACCTCACCCGGCATGATCTGGACTACTTCCCGTACCGCATGTGATAGCGCTCCCCCGCTCAAAAGGACAAGCACGTTCGATGTCCCTCCGCCCCTAGTTCTGTCCATCCTCAACGTAAGAGTGCGCGGGTCATTACGAAATGCAGTGAGATAGCATCCAGCATATGCCTGAAACGCCACGCCAGCACCTGTTATGCAGGCGAGTAAGATGCCACTGGTGTCGCTGTGATTTACATTAGACGCAGCGTCAAATCTATACTAAACTACTTACCGTTCGACAAGGGCTCTCTCGTCATGAGAATGAGGTTGATGAACAGTTTCTTCAATAGTGGCGGCTTGGTCGAGGCTTTACATACTAATGAGTGTGACGAACGTATTCATGAGAATCAGACATACCTCTTATCAATATGCGTGGCAGCCACAGAGACGGCTAGGAGGAAGAGTAAAAGAATGCGCAAGGGTTGCATGGTTGCCGTATATAGTATTGAGAGGGTATAAGGACGTAAAGACTTATTTAGGAAGCGGAACTGAGGGGAAAGTAAACCCGGACTCTTGATGCGGTACGAAAGGATGTGCGGGAACGAGGGAATAGAGGGAGGGTCCAACATTAAATATATTTCTAGTCTTATATGGCGCACTTCGCTGCTTAAATCTCTCCTCAAAGCTGTTCTTTTGATACAGGTAGAGTATAAAGTATAATTACCCTGTAACATATGTACTGTAAATAAAATCGGCAGATGAACAGGATCTAATCCGGCTAGACCGGCTGCTTCGGTACCTTCAAAGATCCTGAAGCTTATTGCACCCCACTGTACCGGTAACTTTGGTGGAGACGTGGGTGACTACCTCGTCTTGGTGTCGGTTTTAGTATCGTACCCTGCTCTGAGGACGCTTGAGATCAAGTTCGTCGGACGATAAGCTTTCTAGTAGGCAATTGCAACAAGGTTTTCAGAGCCATAACCGGAATTTCCAACTTTGTGTTGGATACGCGGTACGTACATTGAGCGCACGATGTGGTGAATTCAATGGATTATAGAGCAGAAACTGGTGATCTTATTGATTGAAGTCTTGATGATGCCTTGCTTTTCTCGTCAGAGTGCGGGGGCGTTGGTCCGTTCTTGATGGTTTCACAGCCACACGCCACACAGATTGTTATAACGTAGGGCAAACTCCCTTCTATCCGCACGCAGGCGCCAATCATACATACATGCATACATACATACAATACCTAAGTATGCCACCAGAGGCTCAGATGAAGTTCCCTTGGCCATGACAGCGTGAGAGGGGAAACTCCTTCTTGATGCACATAGTGATAGCACCGGACACCCACTTAACACCAGCATACGAGCCCTCGTCAAAGGAGTCGCCCGCGTGAAAGTACCAGTCTCAGTCAGAGAGCCAACGCAGCCCCGGAAAGCCTGTCCATACTTACGCGTCTTGATGGGCTTGGTGATCATGACACCAAAGGAACCACCCGGCACTGTTCCTTTAACATTGATGACCGTCTGCGTAGTCCAGGTACGGGTGTAGTCGATTCCAGCGGAGAGACCAAGCTTGTCCTTGATGACAGTCCATTCCAGGCCAGCACTGACGCTGACGCCGTTGCTCACACTGTAGCCGGAGCTGACGAAGACGTCGATGCCATTGCCGGTGCCAATGACAACGTGAGACTTTTGCACGGCCCAGTCGACAAAAGTCTCAGTGCGGTCAGTAACGATCGACGTGGTGAAGTCGCAGTTCTGACGAGCCTCGATGTCTGGCAGGTCAGGCTTGGAGACGTTGACAGGGAGGGACTCTTCTATTTCGGGCACATCCCAAGAGATGCCCCCGATTCCATCAGTCGATGAAAGGCGGACTCATTGAAGATTTCCACTGGAGAATCCCCCGTCAGTACCCGTTGGCTCATGTGGGATGGAATATGGAATACCCCACAGAGAACATAGAACCAATCAACTCACTACTGCTGCTCATTATGAGTGACCTAACCTTCAATCAATCTTAAGCACATCCAGTGCGACATTATATTACATATTACAAGGCTCTGAGCCGTTGTATCAAACTCTATGAGAATCGTACAGGGTTAGAAGTTAAGCACCAATCAGACAGCTAAGCCCCCCCCTCCGTCACCGAAAGTGGAGCCGCGGCAGTTTCAGTACGTACCCTCTTTCAAGTGGAAGAGGAAACCAGAGGTAATGGCCCAATCAAGACGCGTAAAAGTCCTTTTTCACTTGAACCTGGACCTTGAATAATGATGTAGTCAAAATCCGCACCCAATGGGTTACAGTATACTGAGGCGTAAATTGTCGAAGAACATCTAACCTCAAAGCGCAAGGCCAAAAGTCTCTGCTTCGGGTACCTCCACCAGCCTGGTTGCTAGCGACGCGGCAGATGCCAAAATCCTCGGGGATTTCTCGCCGGGGGACAAGGTTATTGTCTGTGGCTCGCTTGGCGAAAGGGCAGCCCTGGCCAGCGGCGAGAGGCACGAGGCCAGAAGCCAGCAGAAGCGATTGAACGTGTATGGCGGAATGTGCGGTGGTGTTGCCTGAGCATGAACAAAACAGACCAGAAAAACGAGAGGATTTATGTTTAGTTTTGTAGGCAGAGGCAAAAAAGGTTACAGTGACGATCTAGAGGGGCTGCTACAGCGCCAAGTCGGCAGTGTCAGTGGCATAGGGCCTCATGCAACAGGTCAGACGCTCGGATTACCGATTAAGGCTCAGTTACAGGGCATCTTAGGATGAGCATGGGGCAAAAAGGCATGGTCAGGGTTTAATACCATAAATCACAAGGATACGAGCCTTTTTCGCCTCTACGAAGCAGGGTAATCCACATCAACGTCACTGTCCCCTTCCTGATTGCTTCTCAGACACTACTAGGCGGTGACAATACTGAAATTATTTGTCTCGTCCGTGAGTGACTGTGGAGACGGAGAAATCTTTTTGTGCTAGGGACCCTAATAAACGGCAATGCCAATCAATCACACGCACCAACTGCCGGCAGGGATAGTAGATCACAATTGCGCCATTGTTTTACGTGAGACTCTCCATACTGAGAAGGTGGTAGCTTACTATAAACTTTGGAGAATGAAACCACATGATTTAAAGTTTACCATATTGCCTTGAGGAATCAAACTTATACACGTTGCTTTCTTATTAATTTCCAGTGGAAGCTTAATAATCCTTTGACTTGTTCTTGTTGAAGATACATAGGTCTTATGCTCGGAAGCTAGCCCGCTATCCGCAGTTCCGCTGAGTTTCCATCCCGGCCTTTACCACGATCCAGTTAATAACAATCTAATTGTATAAAAAATATAACGTAATTGATAAGGGAATGCCACACCTCACTACCCTGTAAAGTCAGCCACAACGTTCTAAATTGGCCCAAATCATATCTCTCCTGTAAAAACCATTTCTTGGCACCTGTTTCCGCTGACAGGATGCCCTCTTGAGGCAATGCGCCTTCGTGCCGATGGTATGCTGGACGGACTAGATGGAATGGCACTCGTATTGGGACTTTTCCTGAGTTACCTGCAATGACGTCCAGGACGATGTGCTTGAAACTACCGTAGGGCTGGCTACGAGTAGGAAAGTGCCACTTGGGGGAAAGAGCTTGTGAGACTCTCCGTTGATGCGAGTGGACATTTCGGGTGTTCTAGATGAGGTTGGATGCAACAGCAATTTTAGATAGCTTAGCTCAGTACGTCCTGTGCTCCCTTAGGAGACTTCTGGGGCTCTATGGCCCCCCGGACGAAAAAAATACATATATACATACATACACACACGGCGCTAATTAGCGTAAACGTGAACGTGGCATGCTGCCGCAGGAAGACTCTACCCTGCATAACTGGTCTAAATATTTCCAATTTTAGAGACGGGCAGGAAGGCCAATGAGAGGTTGATTTTTACAGCTGGCTCCTCAACTAATGCATTAAATAAAAGTTTCGCGGCCGCAGCCCCAATTGACACCAGTTGGCTACAATCTGAACTTCCGCTACCCACCCGAGCAACGCCAGTACTCGATGAGAACTGCACGATTGGTCACCCTCGTATCTGGCATGGAGGACACCGTAATCTGCGCCCCTATTTGGGTGAGTATAACCCTCAGTGGCTTGCAAAGTCGCTTGAAATTATTTGAACCACTCTACAACTGAAATTAAGGACGTGCAGCCGAGTAGGAGAACCTATAAAAGGAAGAAAAAATCAACTTCTATCGACAAGTCAGACTCGATGTACAGAGTCCATAGACATGACGGATGTGTACCAAAGCCAAAACGCAAAAGGGTCATAAAAGACGACAATTCTCACGAGACCATGAGAACAGAGCACGCTGAGGACAGGAGATCACTAGCTCTACGTCGGCCTTCGCGGCTCTCTCCAAATTCAGAGGATCAAGAATGTCTCCCTGAGCGTTCTCCTGACATCGTTTCACGGGATACCTCTGGAAGACTCCAGCGTGATAGCACCGATACTCGAGCAGGTGCAGCAGATGATGAGGTTGTTTCCATTACAAGCTCAACTCACTATCCGCCAAACCGGTGCGAGGCTACAGCTGAAGTTCTGCCCTTGAAATCCCAAGAGACGGACGGCATGCTCCAGGCGAAAATCATTCCTAACTTTGAGAAAGAAGAAGGAGATCGCCTAAATCGCGACCAAAGTTCGATTTCTCCGAGGTGTTACAACAAACACACTCCGAAAGCCGCAAACAACAACACAAGAAACATACCTGTACAATCATACGACAAGCCCGATACGAGGCCTATGTCCAGGAAGACTGCGGCGATCTTGGATATAGTTTCTAAGCACAAGATTCCTAATGCATCTCAATCAGTCAGGGAAAAGACTCCCAAAGATTCCGAGTCCAAGCACAAAATGACAAAGACAGAGGCGATCTCATCCTCGACCACTACACAAACGACCTCACTACCCGGGATCGAGTCTTTTCAGCCAGACGTGTTCATCGATCAGAAAAAGAAACATAATATCCAGGGCTGCTCCCCAGGTATCGGTCTCAGAGAGCTTCACGAGACCTCGTTTCGACCCTGGTTTGCTTATAGAACAGCGAGATGTAGGGAAGTGCAAGCTCAGCTGCTATCGGCTACAAAGGATGTTACTCAATTAAATACGAGAGCAGAGCATTTTTCTATCTATGAAGCCAAGTAAGTATCCATAATTAAGTTCTTAAAGATGTTGGTACATTCCTCATCACCATAGCCCCAATCAAGACTCATATTAATTGACGTGGCGATAGTGAGTGGGCGAGCAATTCACAACTTATACCCAGATACAGGCAGCCACTATCAATAGATTCCCAATCCCTCACTCCTTATCCGCTCGGTCGCTTATCTATACGATAAATAAAAGCAAGCTTCACAAACTCCCGTCCGAACCCCGCATTGGGAGTCTGTTTCAATGGCATTAGCAAGATCTTAGCGGATTGCTGTGGCATATCACTATCCAGAGCGCAGGACGGGGAAGCTAGGCTACTATTAGCTATTTTTATATTTGATCGAGGTCTAAATCGACTTGACATGCCAGCAGCAGGTTATCGATGGCTAGGTTATTCGTCGCCTTGCCAATGAAATATCCACCGCTTTATTCTGGTTTTACTTTTGTTATCGCATATCCTTATAGCTATAACTTGTAGAACTCTTCCTTACATGATATAACCCTATTAACAACAGTATTTTTACCTGTTGATCGACATTTGCTCGTGGCACTGCCCGCGCAAGGACCCCGGCGGGTATTTTCAACAGGGTTCAAATCCATACCACGAAATCCACATATGGATCCATAATGTGGATCCATATCCATTCCATTCCATTCCACGTAGGCTTCAGCATTTCCATATCCACGCCACGGAACCCAAATTTAGGTGGGGTCTGAAAATATCTGGATTTCCTTGTGAAATAGCGCATACCCTAAGTACTTTCTATCGCCAACAACGCAATAGCCACAATTTTCCACCCTGTTTTACCCGTACACAAAGTTCAAACAAGTCTATTCTAGGGGGGTTTGCTATTACTCACGCCCTTACTACCCCAAATCGAAATGGCCACCCTCCATCCTACCAAGTCAACCACACCCGTTCCAGAACGTACCATTCACAACCCCTCTTTCGGCAAGCAAAATAAAAGAGCCACCACCAAAAATCAACAACTTCACTTACACGGAACTTGACCGAATTGATAGAAATCCGTGAAATTTTTCGTTTCATAAATCATAAATAGGGTTTATCTATTATACTCTGGTTTTTTTCGCCACCCGCCGCGACCGCCTGGGTGGTTGGTGGGGTATGTTTTCCTCTCTGACTTCGATGACAGAACCAGCCTCCGATTCTGACTCTTGCTCGCTTAAAGAGGCAAATTCCACCCCAACAGGCATATAACGAGTCGACCCTTCTGGTATGCACTCTTTACTAGCTAGAGTCTCTCCAAGAGTCATAAAACGTTTGTTAGGATTCGGCACCGCCTTCCTCTTCTTCCCTCTTTTCAGCCGAGCCAATTCTTCCTCTAGGCTGGCAATCCTCTGCATATGCGCCGCTACTGTCTGCTGTTGAGCTTCAAAGCCCTTGGCTATCACGCAGCGCTCATCATATGTCAACTCAATCAATCAATCACCCCAATCAAATCAATCAAATTGGTGAACTCTTCCTTTCAATCAAATCAATTCATGCATTCCGAAAGTTGAAATAATTGATATATTACAAATGGCATCATGCGATCGTCTAATATCGAGGCAAAAATTCAGACCTTCCTGGACCACTACCCTACACGAGATAGTTACAGATAGAGGTTTACTTTCTAATAGCGGGGGGATTAGCGGCAAAGCTAAGTATCTGCTATCGTGATCTAACGCATGACCCCACCGCGCGTATGCAATCTGGAACGCGTTTTCCAGCCATGTCGCGCCATCAAAACAATCCCTTCTACACGTGGTTTTTATTCCATTTCACCAGTAGGATGTCGAACTCGCCACTCTCCCTGTCGCCAGCTGGCTTTCCGCCAACAACATTGACACCTTGCCCTACACCTCCTTCTTCCGTCTTCTCACGATTGTCTCAGCCTAAAACGGTCGCCAAGCAGTTGGAAGAAGCAGCCGTTGGAGCTTTACCTCCTAACCCGACAATTGAGGATTTGCCCAAGATTACCTGGAAGAACCGTCGCTTCGTCCAGGAGGATTTGTTAGCTCGAAAAGGTGCAAAGGGCAGGAAGAGCTGGATTAGGTCGCACGGGACCTTCCTTGTCGAACTGAACTATCAGGATCTACCGATAGGTCACGTCTGGTGCTGCAATCGATGTGATACGAGAGGCGCAGCGGAGTTCTTCTCGGTGCAAGCCACGTCTTCCGCAGCGGATCATCTTCGAAAGTCTGTGCTTATCCCGTTCAATCTCATTGACAAGATATCCAGCAGCTGACAGACCTGCGTAGAGCTCACCGGATCACCCCAGCCAGCCAGTCTAGCGAGTCAAGTCCTGGTGATGAAGGTGTCATTGATATTTATTCTGGTGCAACACCGAAAAGGCGCCGGCTTGAACAGAGCGCCATACCAAGGGCGAAAATAAAAGCCATCCAAGAACTAAGCGTCGGCTTCGTCATTGATAGCGATGTGCCATTCACCATCTTCGAGCACAGCTCTCTTCGGAAGATCTTCAACCACTTCGACAGTGATTTAGTACTCCAGATGGCGTGGAGTGGTAGTTCTGTCACTAGAGAAATACATCGACTCTTTGAAGCGAAGCGGGATACCATCAAAGCAGAGCTCCGCAACGCTTTGACAGCGGTGCACATTAGCTTCGACCTCTGGACGTCACCGAATCGCTTTGCAATCATGGCTGTATTTGCGCACTTTATAGATCAACTGGGTCATCAGCAATCCCGTCTGCTGGCTCTGCGTCGTCAATTTGGTGCTCATAGTGGCGAGAACCTCGCCGGTTCTCTGATCGACATCGTCCACGAATGGGAGATTGAGGGGCGCGTTGGCTGTGCCATCTCTGACAACATGACGGCAAATGATACTTGCCTGTACTATATGTACCAGCGGCTCGATGCATCGATGAGACCTGGTGATATCAAAGCCCGCCGGATGCGATGCTATGGGCACACGCTCAATCTCGTCGCGCGTGCCTTTCTCTTTGGCAAAGATGCCGAGTCATTCGAGCTGGAGTCTGACATCAACGGCATGCGCGGTCTTGTTGAGCAGGACCTGGATCATTGGCGCACGAAGGGGCCCATTGGGAAGCTCCGCAACATTGTCAAATTTATCCGTTCATCGCCGCAGCGGAGCGAACAGTTCAAGCGAGTTGCCCGGGAGCAGGATCACGAGGAATACCGGCTCTGCGAGGAATCCACGGCCGAGCTCGAGGTTGTCATGAACAACGAAACGCGGTGGAACTCCACTTACATGATGGTTGAGAGGGCTTTGCGAAAGCAGACAGATATCAGAGCATTTATCTTTGCAACTCAAGAAGAGGAAGATGGGGCAAGATGGATCCCGGCGGAGGACATATTGTCCAGCGAAGACTGGCGGGTTCTTGGCGAAGTCAACGAGATTCTCAAACCCATATACCTTCAGACGATGCGGACGCAAGGCTGGGGTAAAGGTGACAGCCATGGACGCCTGTGGGAGGTGCTGATAGGAATGGAATATCTGTTGGAGCATTTTGAGGACTGGAAGGTCTTCTATAGTGAGGTTACGGAGGCGACGATGGGAGAAACTCAAGTGGATGCTGCGGAGCGGATTGCAACGGCGTCAGCAAATTTCCGAGAGTCAAACGGTCGGCCAAGCCGCGTTCGCCGTCTTCCTGCCCGCTTTGAGGAGGATGAGGTTTACGCGCTACCACAGCAGAGTCAACCTCCGAGATTCGTAGAATCTGCCTTACCGTTGCATTCTCGGGCTGATTATTCTACGGCGGAGAAA